TATTCTTTCCATTATCTGTTGCTTCTTTGCACATTGAAGACAGTGCACAGACTAAGTTTGGGGGTGTGTTAGCATATTTTACATGTCGCACTTACTTTCTATGCATGTGGTATGATTTGAGAGTCCTAGGTTATGATTTTGATCTTTTGAGGACCATGATACTTAGAATTTAAAAATTGTTTGACTTAAGAATTCAATACTCCATGTATGCTTTATGGATGCCATTTAAAAGTAAATTTTTCGAAAGATTGATATCTTGTTTGTATTTGTGGTCTACATCATCTTGATCTTGTGATTGTTTTGAGATTCACTCTAGGATTCTACACTAGCACATGCGCACACTAGCATTCATTTGTGGGATACATGCTTTGTTGATTATTGATTTGGTTATATCCCAATTGAGCTAGTAGTGCATTAAAAGCTTTCATCTTGACAAAAATGAATAACAATCCCTTTTCATTGAGTAGCCAAGATTCTAGCTTCATCAAATACTGAATTTCTCATGCCGAAAGGTGGAGGGCCCAAACTCTAATTTAAAAAAAAAAAAAAAAAAAAAAAAAAAAAAAAAAAAAAAAAAGAAAAGAAAAAGCATGAGAACTTCTCCCCAAAGGTGAGATGTGGGAAATGATTAGATGGAGGTAGTTTTGATTTGTAGCCTAGTCGATTTGAGCTTGTAAGTCCTTAAGGGTGTTTAAACGCCTAATGCCCTAAAGCTGTCCGGTTTGGGAGTCATTGACCTAACACTTGACCTCATAGATCGCTAGAAAGCTTAATAGATCACTACATTGCACCATGCTTCCATCTTTGATCCTCTAGGTTAGTTGAAAAAAACATAAATAAATAAATAAAATAAGCTCATCTAGTTCAATAAAGGTTTAATAAAATGTTCATTCTTTGTTTTGATGATCGGTGCTAGATTTGTGTGCTAATTTGAGGCTGAATGTGATTATTTCTTTAGTTGGCTTAGATAGCAACATATTTGATGCCGGTTCACTTAAAAATGATTTATAGAGTTGTTTTAATGTGCATGATCATTATCTTGATGTGTGGAGAATCATATTTGCTTGCTTGGTGTTGAAATTTTAGGAGATTGCTTGGAAATGGTTGAAAAATTGTATAATTGAGGTAGTTTTCTCCCAATACTTGTTTTGTATATTGGTTCCTCTTTTGTGAGAAAGAGCTCAATGTTTGTGGGTATCAATTCTGGAAACCCTCACGAGACTTCACTTATCCGCTAGGGGTAACCTAGGAGTTTAAAAGGCTTATTGCATTCACTAAATGCAATCGTGTTCCCTATAAAAGTGGTGTTATCATTTTATTGCTTTCTAGTTCATAGTTACTTAGTTGTTTATTCCTCTCTTTTTCTTGTAGTTCATTACTAAGGACTAGCAATATCTAAGTTTGAGGGTGTGATGAGTGCTCAAATATGACGCATTTTAGCACCTAAGTTAGGGTATTTTAGTCCATTCATCTATCTTAATTTCATGTCTTAAGTACGTATTTGTGTTATTGCCTATTTCAGGTTAATAAAGTTCAAACAGGCTAACAAGAGTCATTTAGCCCAATTTTGGAGCTAAGGAGTAAAGTTGGAAAGAAACCAAGAAAATGGTCTTAAAGGAACTTCAATTGATCGAAGGGAATCCCAATCGATCAAAGTTAAGGCAGTGCCAGCTCAGCAAAGTGGATAAGGCCCGAAAGATATTTTGATGCCATGTCACCTTCAATCGATCGAAGTTAAGTGTTTGATCGATCGAAGATCTTCGATTGATTAAATTGCCTACTGGCAGTATGCTGTCTAATTCCCGAGCGCGCTGAATTCTACTCAATTTGTGTAGCTGCGAATTTTCTCCAATCATAGGCTGTATTTCTAACTTGGTGCCTACTCAAAGGGGCATGTAATGAATTAATTGAACATATATCTTGTAATATTGATAGAGGTAGATATTTTACATAGTTTTCTCTCTAGAACTGGGGTTTTGGGGAGAAAGTAAGGATGAAGATGATGATGTCAACCTCCAAGCTAGCCCTTGAGGGTTCCATGACCACTACAATGAGTGGCTAAATCATTCACTTAGGGCTAGAGATAGCCCCTAGGCTTGCTTCCTAAACCTAACTTTTGTACATATTTGGGGATTTTAGTTGTAATAAATGTTTTAACCTTGAATAAATATAGATCTTGTGATTTTTACTTAATTGTTATGGATTAATGCTTTCAATTGATCATTTAATTCTATCCATATGTCTATGTATGCTAGAATGAATGTTCATGTGTCTTAATCTAGATTTAATGGAATTAATGCATGTCTATATGTATTGATGTTGTTAATCTGGTGATAGTTAAAGCATAGTGCTCAATTGAATACACTTGTGATTTATTTGATGATTCACACTTATTTCTTGATGGATTGTGCCACACCTTTAGTTTAATTAGTTTAATTTTCATATCTCTAGCCTAGATGTAGTGTAATTGCTTTAATTCTTAGATAGGTGGACAATTCATTCTTATTTCTTGATGTTCCATACTTATGAGTGCAAAGAGTACATTTCTCTAGATTATTTTTTGTTCTAATTGTGGTTTAATTGAATGAGTTATGGTTTCATTTGATAGGTTGTGCTATTCACTATATTGACTAGACAATCTATGCTTATTTGCCATCCATGCTTAGTTTTTAATTAGTGACACACACACACATATTTTTACAACTTATATAAATGTCCCCATTAATTTATAATTACTAGTGTTTGGTGAAGTAAAGCTTAGTGGTGAACTCTAAGTCCCAAGACCTCTCTCTCATTTTTTTCCCCTCTAATTTCTAGAATGATAATTGCATTGATTTTAATTGAACTTTAGTTTAATCAAATTCAATCTCTCTTTTGATCATTCGACCTACTAATCCAACAATTAATTCCAAAACACGACTCATTTCCCTTAGGACGATCCCTATTCACTCTTGCTATGTTTTAGTTAAAAGTGGTAGTGGCATTCTATAAATTTAAACTTAACCACACTTTTATGCAACTCGGTCCGTTCGACACACACCAGAAGGAATAACTATCAATAAATAAATCATTAAATCTATAAATCCCATTTAACAACTCAGGAATCCTATAAACCGGGGACCCCTAAAACAAAATCCATAAAATATTATCTATAATTCATGAAATTCTAGAAAGAGTAATAATAAAACCCTATATTGAAATAAATTGGAAAGGAGTGGATGTTCACGACAAGTTATGAAGAGTTAAGTCATCAACCATCAACCCTGTGGTTGAAACTGTCTAGGACCTAAAATGTCAACAAAGGTTGGTTAATCCCACAAGCAAGTCTCCTACTACAACTTAACAAAAAATCGATAAACACATCTTCTCATATTATGTGAATTAGGCATTAGGAAGCATGACCCTTTGTTGTTTTAGGCTTGTTTAATTCATGGATTTTCTTTTATTGAATTGCTTAGCTTTCATTCACACGTTGGTTCTACTCGTTCCCATCATTTATGTGACCTTTGAGCAGCTTAGATGTAATTCTGGATACCTTTCGGACATTATCATTTGACTTAGGTGGAGTCCAAGGCCATAATGGTTACTTTCGGTAGTGGTTGCTCCTGATGAGCATGTGGCTTCAATTCTCTTGGGTATATTTTGTTCTTTTTCCATAACCATCTTAATATATTTAATTTAACAACAAAAATATAAAAAAAATCATTCCTGCGCATTGTTTTTAATTCGTCAACTTCATGAACTAATTAATATTGTTCTTAATCCATTTGGTACTACTCGAGTCACTCGACACTAATACTACTTTGTTGGAGATGAGGAATCAGAAAAATATGTATAGGTATTCTAGGAATCAGATAGGGATAAAAGGTCCGCTTAATTTGTCACTAAAAAATAGTTATTAAGAATTTTTTTATAAAAAAAAAAAAAAAAAAAACCTTTAAAACTCTAGAAGACAATTTTTTTGACAATATATCTTTTTTATTAATTTAAACTTAATTTTCATAAAGCAATTCTCATAAACCGTCAATCATACATATTTTTGTACCCTTTTGGTACAATTGGAGAAACGAAAAAATATATATAAGTATTTTAGGAATCAGATAGGAATAAAGGATTTGCTTAATTTGTCACTAAAAAATTAATTATCAAGAATTTAGGAAATAAAAAACTATTTTAAAATTATAAGAGATCGTTCCTAATATATTAATATATTTATATTTAAACTTAGTTTTCACAAAGCAGTTCTCAAAAGTGGTCCAAATACTGTTATAAATTTTTTTTTCTTTCTTAGTTGGTACTCACACACTTATATTTCCACTAAGGTTTGAACTCATGACCTCTCTTTACGAGGTAAAAGCTTGGTACCGCTGGACTACTGGTCCGTTGATAATACTTTTATTACTTTGACTCCCCCTTCCTTACACATGAACAAATGACTATCAAAAAATGTACGTTACCAAACATGTTTTCTATTACCATTTAAAATACTCTATCACAAAACAATTATTTTGTTTCGGGTTAAGACAAAACACGAACCTAGCAAGACTATATATATATATATATATATATATATATGAATATGTTCGCCACATTCATGGATTAGAAGTTAAAAGAATCTACCCACACAAAACATCAAAATAATTACTAAAATCAAATTCAATCTCCACCGTGGTTTAGTTGGTTTACCTATTATAATAATAATAATAATATTTTATTAGTTGGCACAAAAATAAAAGAAAGTACATGACACCAAAGGAAAGCAATTCGCTTGTTTCAGTCACCGACCATATGATTAAGATTGCTAAGCTTGCTAGTTGATACAGGCCAACAAAAAGTAATATTTTACATCTTAGCTTTATGACCATAAATGAAAGTTACATCAACGAGCCGCTGATTATCTATATATAGTTTGTCAAATACTACTGTACTTTGGCTTCTATAGGAGGATGAACACATACATATAAATCAAGATTGTAACATGCACTCCAAAAGAAAAGATGTAGATAACAATGGATAAAATATATTCTCCAACACTATGCTTATTTACTCATAATATATATGCCTCAGACATGCATGGATATATATATATATATATATATATGTATATATATATATATATGCCCTTTTATCACAAACTTCATTACACAGATTTGATGATCATGCATATAGACATGCGTGATCAGAAGGAAGCTAGGTTCCTAGCTAGTTGTAGGTGGAAGAAGCTGTGGGACTAACGTCATTCACCGGATATTTCTGAGCATTCTTGAGTATCTTTGTGAGGGCAGCTTGACCAAGATCAAGCCCACAAACATCAGCTAGTTGAACAAGATAGAGTAAAACATCAGAGAGCTCCTCCTCCAGATGCTCTTTATCATCAGCACTCCAATTGGGTAGTCCTCTTTCTACCTCTCCTTTCCACTGGAATATCTCTGAGAGCTCTCCCACTTCTCCCACCTGCACAATATATGTTGTAAGACCAATTCAATTGTGTGTGTGTGTGTGTGTGTGTGTGTGCGTGTGTGAAAAATGTTATGAGGGCAACATTTTTTTATGATCATTCATGGTCACACATGCAGTTAATTGGGACTTACCAGAGCCAAAAGGAGATTCCTAGGACTGTGATATTGTTCCCATCCTCTCACTCTAGCAAACTCTGCAAGCCTATCCCTAAGTTCTCGAAGTGAAACATCCTTAGAATTAATCTCCATCTCTTCTTCTCTATCTGAGTTATGCATGTTACACCACTACTTATCCATAGTACTTCAATTTATAAGCAAAAGAGGAGAGAGAGAGAGACAGAGAGAGAGAGAGAGAGAGAGGGAGGGAGGGGGTTGTCCCTTATCCTAGTTTCCTAGCTCAGTGGAGGTCACTTGGGTGCTCTTTTAAAACAGTATTCACGTGAGCTATGGGCAAAGATGTTTCAATATTCCCATCCATGACTAGATATCAACTATCTTCCACCACCAGGTTTTTATTTTTATATTATATATATATATATATATATATTTCTCTCAATCACCAGGTTTTTATTACTATAAAATGTATAAATTTTCTTTTACCTCATATGGGAACTTGTACATCTCTCTATCCTTGTCGCAATGCAATTTGGACCCAACCCAACTTGGTGACATATAAGGTGGTGAATTTTAGAAGAATTGGTATATTTATTATACGACAAAATTAAAGTTGAGTTCCTTTTTCTTCATGGAAGCAAGATGGGCTAAGAAACACACACCTTGTCTATGCTCTCCATCATAAATCCCGGATATTGCGCTTCTGACATTGACAAGTTTCAATCAGCTTTAATGCATGTGTATGTATGTGTATGTATGTTTGTTTTTCCCATTTTGCAATCACAGCCTATTTGTGTATTTGTAATGGGACCTCATCCAGTAAAAATCACTTACAATTGACAAATATTGTCCCTATATATATATATATATATATATATATATATATTGTTATGTTTGTATATATCTGTATTTTATATATAAATCAAAACTTTGTATGATCGTTGAGCCTTTATTATAACTTTCTTCCACTTTACTTTAACAGGTAACTTTCATACACGAACTTGAGAACAATCATAATTTTTTAAAAGAATTATGATAAAAAATTCGATAATTAGATAACTCTAATTATTTTATGTGAGTGCGGATGATCGAGCCCAACTACTAATTGTCTTAAGCCATCACTCACAAAAAGACAATTTGATTAATTTGACTCTCTGACTGCAAATCATTTTTTTTTATAAAATATTACAGAAAATTTTTACACTTTCATAGGATTGACTAAAAACACTCTAATACTCAAATCACAAATAAATGAAAAAGAAAACAACAAAGTAAAAATGGAGTAAATGTCAACACATGCCCGGTAATTTAATATTAAAAAAAGAAATCGTGCTACACTAGCTGAGGGAATTAATCAATAAAAAAAAACCGAAGAAGGGGTGTGCCTTGCCTTGTAGCCCAGTTGATGGGCCTACCTCACGGTGTAGTGTGAGTGTGAGTGAGTGGGAGTGTTCAAGCCACACATCTTTCCATTCCCTCAATCTCTAAACCATTGGAGAAAATAAAAATATAAATAAAAAAACGAAGAAGAGTGAGCCATTATTAGATATATTAGTGTGGGACCTAGTTGAATTTACTAACACTCACGCGTCAAATGTCTAAAACAATGACACATGGGTTAGTCCTCTCCGTGTAAATTAGCAATAACATTTTATTTTTTAAAAATTTAAAAAAAAAAAAGAAGAAGAAGAAGAAGAAAGAAAAGTTCTAACCAAATGGAATGGTTAGAACCTATCAGACACCACGGAAGGAGGATACGAGTAAGATATAATACCGCCATTCCTATACGACAAATTTAAAAAAATAGGATAGCAAAGATACGATAATAAAATAATATTATATATTTTTATTATATATAAAATTTTAATTTCATTTATAATTTTATTTATATTAATAGACATAACTCATTTATATTAATTACAACTAAATTTTTATTAAAATAAAAATAATAAATAAGTAGTATATCTTTGTATTTAATACTAGAATAGTTAAATTTGTAACCAAACACATTGAAAAAGAAATAAATTTTCAATGTTATCTTCTTAGTTTTTCCACATTGACGTACTATCTTCTCTCTCCTCTAAGCCACTTCTTTATTTTCTTTGTCTCTTAACTTTCTGTCTCCCTTGTCTTTCATTGATGGCTCTATTTTACAATATAGTTATATATGAATGAACATTTTCTCTTTAATTCTCTTAATCAAATTGGAACTCAGTAGACTTGGATCGATCTACACCAACAAACCATGATCATCAGATTTTTCATCACCTCTTTGTTGTTTTTCCCTCTCTTCCAGTTGCTCTCTCATCCCCTCCATCTCTAGATCTATAGTTGCGTTTGGTGTGCTGTCTTCGATCAATTCACACACATATCTTCATCTTTTCTTTTCTTTTTTAATAAAAATCTGAACTATCGTGTCCTCAGAAGTGTCCCGGTTGTATCCTCTGGCGTGTCCGACTTGAAAAAAAAAAATTTTAAAAAAAAAAAAATATATATATATATATATATAGGACACCTGTAAAAGAGTGTGTCAAACTCGTGTCCGACACTACTACGTCGCCCCTACCCTTCATAGGTTAGACCATTACATGGTTATTTCTCTTGGGCCACTATACCTGGGAAGAGAAAGTTCCTACTGACATAGAACTATTCTCCCAAGTCCTAACCAAATTCATCCCGTTTTAGAGGTGGAACCGGTTTGGAGCATTCCGCTTTGCATAATTTAAACAACAATATATATATTTCTAAACAAATTCAAGTTGAAATATAAAAAGTATATATATAATATAGCAATAAAATATTTAACAACTATTATCACAAATTTGTTAACTTTATTATTATGAATCCAAAATATCCTGAAAAATGGTGAAAAGACCTAAATTACATATAATGAAATATTTATTTTAAACTTGAACCGATTGAGCCTACATGTAATTTGTGTTCTCTCGTTTTCAAATTTGGTCCTAACCCAATTAGAATACAATCAAACCTTTCTCATTAAGAACGAGGCCTCCAGATATTCAAGCAAGATGAAATTTTGTTGATCCTTATATCCCAAAATCCGGTATGTTGAATATCAAGTCAAAAACTTTTATCCATCCTCAATGAACTTACTACAAAATGTAATTTAATTGATCATATCAAATAGACAATAGCCTAGCTTATATAAATTCACCTCCCAAATGATACAAATTCACCTCCCTAAAAGAAGTCAAATGATACAAATTCACCTCCCTAAAAGAAGTTAGGGTTCGAGCCTCGTAAGAGAATATATATACAAATATTGTATCATTTACATTCTTGCCTTCAAGAGTTCCCTTGCGAACAAGATTACCAATTACTTATACTGCAGATGACGAGCTATTTGCCACACGTTTTCATCACCTTCATTCCACTCACAATTCATGTGGATCAAAATACAATGGTCTAAACCATAGTCACAACCTACACAAACTTCACAGATCCCACCCCTACTAGGGCACAATTGAAGGCCGAATCTCCATCAAATGGTAAAATAATTTCCCACCGAAAGTGTTGACATCTCTCAAAGGGTGCTCTATTAGTCTATGACCATGTCGGCAGGCAATCCATAACCATGGATTGGGTCTTTTCTGTTTCCTAATCTACCTTCATATCACTTCTTTGATCCCTTCCCAACACGATTGAGAACCATTTCACATGCTCTTCATCCTCCTCAGTTGGGTATTTATACCTATGATCATGACTCTGCCTAACCTATAATTTTTACTTGTTTGGCTCCATTATCATGGTGTTGGATTGTGTTTCAAAATATATTTATAATTTTTTGGATATACACATGTATATATTTATCTAAAATTTAGATTCACCCCCCTTGAACAATCAATTTAAATGTGTTCATGTATGAACCAAAAATGTTTTCAAATTCATTCACACTAAAAGTTTGTTATTTTTTATCAATCTATTTGATTCATCTAATGTTAAGGATGAACCATTTTTTTCCCCAAACCCATCTACTATCAATATAGTACAAAATAGTCCCTATGTGATATAAAACCCCTCATATACTATCAATTTGATGCAATTACCCCCACTATTCGCATAAAAAGACATTAATACCCTCTCTAATATGAATTTCAGGGTTAAGTGTAAAACCACCTAATATATAGGATTTGTGCAGAAATAGTCCCTACTTTTTAAAAATGTGCATTTCAGTCCATAAAATTCAAAAAATATGCAAATAAGCCCCTCTGACAACTTTTTGATCAAAATTGGCATAAAATAAATTCAAAAAATCATTCTTTTTTTTTTTCTTGTCCTATGCACTTTTTCTTATATATCATGAAATGTATCAAAATAATAGAAAATGGTTGTGGAACACACTCACTCTCTCTCTCTCTCTCTCTCTCTCTCTCTTTTGCTTGCTATGACCACCATTGAAAAAAAATTTCTCTCTCTCTTTATTGCTCTGACCATCATTGAAGTTTTTCTTTTCTTTTTTTCTTTTTTTTTTTTTGATAAATAAAATAAATGAGAAAAATATACAAATATAAATGGGGCATACTCCATACCCTATAAGAGGCCTAGAGCCATTCGGGCTAAAGCAATAGACCAGTCCAAAAATGAAAGGCCATAAGAGGAGGAAAAAAAAAATACAAAAATGTGAAGTCCAAATACGGCCTTAAATTCAAAAAATAGCTAACTGAATGAGAAAGAGAGGCATGATTATTAAGTTTGTCATATATATACAAATATTTCTTCTTATTTAAAAATTACAATAACATCTATCCCTTCCTCTCCCTCCATCACCTTTACCGCCACCATAGCTTTTAAAGCCACCGCCACATCTGGCCTCCGGGACTTCTTCCTCCTCCGAAGTCCCTTCCTCCTCTCCCACCATCACCACTACCGTGGCCGCCTCTGCCCCTTCCTCTCCCTCCATCACCTCTACCGCCACCACGACTTCTAAAGCTGCCGCCACCTCTGGAGCCTCTGAGGCTTCTTCCACCTCTGAAACCCCTTCCTTCTCTCCTTCCATTGCCTCGGGCGCCTCTGAACCCTCCACCACCACCACCTACAAATCAATCAACCAAATACAAAGGCAAAAAAAAAAAATATATATATATATATATATATATATATATATTTACATTGCCTAATTTTTTTAATATTATTTCATTTATATTAAAAAGGGTATTAATATCTTTTTATGCGAACATGGAGGTAATTACATCAAATTGATAGTATATGAGGGTTTTATACCACACAA